TTGATCTCGGCAATAACTGTAGTAAAATGGATGATAAAAAGTGTAAACGAAGTGATGTTAGATATAACAATGAAATTGCTTTTGTAAACATATTACACATGTATATCATATTTGATTAATGATTCCTCTATTTTTTTTAGTTCATCAACAGTTCAGGCTGGGAGTTATGTTGATAACTTGAGTCTGTGTACAGGAATAAAATGTGGTAACCATCCCGGAGGAGTGTCCGTAAGTGAGGGCACTTTATTATCACCTGAGTTAGGGCTCTTTATTATCACCTGAGTTAGGGCTCTTTATTATCACCTGAGTTAGGGCTCTTTATTATCACCTGAGTTAGGGCTCTTTATTATCACCTGAGTTAGGGCTTTTTATTATCACCTGAGTTGGGGTCTTTATTATCACCTGAGTTAGGGCTCTTTATTATCACCTGAGTTAGGGCTCTTTATTATCACCTGAGTTAGGGCTCTTTATTATCACCTGAGTTAGGGCTCTTTATTATCACCTGAGTTGGGGTCTTTATTATCACCTGAGTTAGGGCTCTTTATTATCACCTGAGTTAGGGCACAAACAATTTTTTTAGCTCACCTGAGCCAAAGGCTCAAGTAAGCCTTTCTTATCGAAGGGTGTCAACTGTCAAGTGTGCACCTGTCATGTGTCATCTGTAGACTTATCACATTTTTACAACCTTCTTTAGAACCACTAAGCCAATCTCAACCAAACTTGCCACAAGGCATTCTTGAAGGGTGAAGGGGATTTATTTTTTAAAATAAAGAATCACACCCTCTTTCAAGGGGAGATAATTAAGCATTGGTGTAAATTTGGTGGAGTTATATAAAAATCTCTTTCTCAAGTACCACTGACCCAGAAAAGATAAAACTTTTTTGGAAGCTCAAACATGACATATTAAGAAAATATGTTTTAAAATCTTCTTTTCAAGAACAGTATTGTTATGATGTGTCATATTAATATGCAAGCATTCTGAGGTAGTGCAGATTCAAGTTTGTTCAAATCATGTTGCGTGGTTAGGGTACATTGTAGGACTACTTTTGGGGATTAATATTTTAAAAGGAAATTACCAGGTAATAATTAGGATTTTATTTTTAAAACTTTTTTTGAAAAACAGCACGGTCACACTAGATCACATCCATATGGAAACAATCCAAAGTTGTTGGTATTCATTTTTTTCCCCTTCAGAAATTTGATCCTGGGGTTAGAGTAAGGCAAAAAAAGGGAGCAATTTTTACCTAATGTATGTGTACTTCCTCTGCAAAAGAGCAAGGCCATGTTGGTCATTGTTATAAATGATATTGAAGCATCCCAATGATGTGTTGATTCAAGTTAGGCTATGTCATGACCCTTTGGGGTTAGGGAGGGGCCACAATATAATCATGAGCAGGGATTAATCTAGGGCATATTTACTACCAATATTCAGTATTTTTCCCCCAAGAGAAAATTTCCTCTGTATATCCCATTTTCCCCTTTAGATAAGTAAAAATTCCCCTTACAATAATAAAAAGCTCAAATAATTTGTAAATTACCTTCATAAAAACTGGAAATTTAAGGTAAAAATTTTCAGAAGATGTGAAATATAGTTTTACATTGCTATTTTATGCATTCTAAATCATAAAAATGCTGAAATTCAATTGGGCCCCCCAGCAGGACTTGCCCTGCACCCGCTGGGGTTCTGAAGTGGCCACCTCTGACCACCGTCTGATTTTCCCAATTTCTCCAGAAAGGGTACTTTCTTCCAAAACCTAGATTAATCCCTGATGAGATAAAAAAAATTTCAGGTGAATAAATTTTGACATTTTATTTTATAACCACGCAACAAGTTGCATGGGGTATAATGTTTTTGACCCCGTCAGTCAGTCCTGTTTTTTTTGTCAGCGCAACTCCTCTTAAACCACTGCACAGAATTTCATCATACTTTGCAGATATGTACTACACTGTCTACACATTGTGTAGATGTGCATATTGCCAGGAAATACTGATTCCATTATTTTTTTGAAATTTATAAAATATGACTGATCATGGCTTTGCTGTTCTTGAGAAGAAATTTTATCTGAATTTTCCCCAATTACAATACATGTATTCCTATGTAAAACTATGTCAACTTTTGTGGCCCCTAATTTGATCAAAAATGAATCTACACTACCAGAGGATGCTTCCGTATTAATATGATTCATCATAACTTTGAAGTTTTTGTGTACTTCTATCCAAGATTTGTGTGTGTGTGTGTGTGTTGAATCATTAATATTTTGATCTCAAAATCAATAGGGGTCTTTTAAGGTCATAAAATATTTCACATAAAATTTCATTACAAAAGCTGATTCCAGTGGATTTCCTTATTACCTAGCTGAAAGGTTTCTTCAATAATAGCCAAAACTCTAAGAGCAAAAATAATGGAATCAGAATTTCTTGGCAATATGCACATCTACACACTGTATCCTAAATATGTGCACAGTTTGATAAAATTCTGTGCAACAGTTTAAGAGGAATTGTGCTGACAAACTGTTTATCTCTATATTCAAGATATAGCCAAAAATCTAAGTTGAAAAGTGCCAAAATTCCGAGGAAAATAATGGAATCAAAATTTCCTGGCAATATGCACAACTACACACTGTGTTCTAAATATCTGCGAAGTTTGATGAAATTCTGTGCAGTGGTTTAAGAGGAGTTGCACTGACAAATTGTCGTATTTTATGGAAGCATCCTCAGGTAGTGTAGATTCAGGTTTGTTCAAATCATAAACCCTGGGGGTAGGGTGAGGTTACAACAGGGTATCAAAATTTTACATAGATATATATTGGAAAAGAATATGCTGATGAAGATCAAGAGGGGCCAAAGTTACTCAGGTGAGCATTGTGGCCCATGGTTAGTTGTCTTGTGATCGAAGAATGTGCAATTATATATGGGAGAACTGAAGCATGTGAAGAGGAATTAAGAAATTCTTTTTGGAAATTAAAATCCACTTGTGACGTCACTCTTTTGTTTGAGCTCTCCATTGTTTTTCAGGAATGGAGAGATGCAAATTACAATATTTACATTTGCTGTGTTTTTCTACTAAGCCAAATGTGAAATTGTTTTGAAAGTCATTTTTGTGTATACTCTCGCATAGAAATATACACGGAGAAACTCGCGCTAAAGTGACATCACAGTGAGGCTACAGAGACGTTAATAAAATATGACGACATAGGGCAGCGAGAAATTCAAACATTGAGTATATTTTTGGTGCATTTAAGCATGTAAAATGTAAATATAAGGAATGTTTTTAAGTTCTGTGTGAGTTATTGGTGTGTAAATCACACAGACTTGCACCTAGGCATATATTTTATGAAGCGCTAGCGCGCTTCATGAAATATGCCTAGCTATAGGTGACAAGTCTGTGTGATTTACACACCAATAACTCACACAGAACTTAAAAACATTCCTTAATTGAAAACGGTATTCGCTATGATCAAATTCTCCTTCCTGTGCCTCTACCGAAAAATGAACTTAGAAAATTTCATTAACTAAAGTCTATTTTCATATTAAGAAAAAAATCATACAGGTACTGCTGAAAATCAATCCTGGTACCCTCACCATGATAGTCAGACACTCATCTCACTACACTGTCAAAGCTGTTGACAGATGATGGATTTAAATTATTTTATATTACTTTACTTGCCTTTCTCTCTCTATATATATATTAAATACAACTAATATGTTAAATATATATTTACTGTGTATCTTTTATATATTTTTAGGTCACCTCAGGTGACTTATTGCTATCTGTTTTCGTCCATCGGTGTGCATCATCCGTCGTGCGTTAACATTTTAACATTTTCAATTTCTTCTCTGGAACCACTGAACCAATTTCAACCAAATTTGGCATATAGCATCTATGTGTGAAGGGGAGTAAAAATTGTGAAATTCATGACCCCTACCCCCCTGGGCCTGAGGAATGGGGCTCAAACCATCAAAATTCATGCAATATATAAAAATCTTCTTTACTCCTGGACATCAAGCCGGTAAACTGTTGGCATGAATGTAATAAGCATTGAGCCCTCTACGTAAATTGTGAAATTCATGGCCCCATGGTCAGGGCTTTTGGTGCTAGAGCAGGGCTTTTGAATATATAGTGATAATGCATTATTTCTTTAAAAAGCTTCTTCTCTGCTCCTGGATATTATGCAAACAATTTGAAAATAAATACATGATTATGATGATGAAAGGTGCCTCTTCCAAAATTGTGAATTTCATGGCCCCAGGGTCAGGAGTTCTGGTGTTAGGGCAGGGCTCTGTTGAATATATACTTAGTGAAAATGCATTATTTCTTTAAAAATCTTCTCTGATCCAGGGCAAACAAACTGAATGCGTAGTTATGATGAGTAAGGGTTCCTCTTCCTATATTGTGAATTTCATGGCCCCTGGTCAGGGGTTCTGGTGTTTGGGCGGGGCTCTGTTAAATATATGGTGAAAATACATTATTTCTTTAAAAATCATCTTTGATCCTGGTATTTAGCAAACAAACTGAATACATAGTTATGATGAGTAAAGGTGCCTCTTCCAAAATTATGAATTTTATTGCCCCTGGGTCAGGGGTTCTGGTGTTAAGGTGGGGCTCTAATGATTACTTAGTAAAAATGCATTAATTATTTGATAATCCTCTGCTCTCTTTCTGGGTATTAACTAATTTAAAAGGAAGCTTACTAAATGTAAAGTTACGATGAGAAATGGCAAAGTTGTTGCTTGATACTCAGGTGACCTATAAGGCCTGTGGACCTCTTGTTTATTGTATATTAACAAACAATAATTACAAGCATTTAAGACAGTGGATTTTAAGTGGGTTAATGCACTCATAGCAATCCATTCCTTAAAAGCAACAGGCCTCTGCCCCTTCAGGGCCTCTGCTCCATTACTTTTAAGGAATGGAGCACTACTTGTACATTAACCCTAACATAATTTTCTAACAAATGTTATACATGTGTAATAAAATGCTCTTCTGCTTGGATTGGTAGATTTGCCAGTCAGAAAAAAATGTCCCAACAAATCAGTACACTAATGGCTTTGTTGCCACAGCAACATTCAGTGGCGACCCCGGGAAGAATCAGCTGGTACTGACTTACACTGGAGACAATGCTACTATACCAGGCGGGGATATTAAACAAAGGTAAAATAATCAGTCAGTTTTTAGCTCACCTGAGCATAAGGCTCAAGTGAGCTTTTTTGATAACATTTTGTCCGCCGTCAGTCAATATCTTCACACTGGGGGAGATAACTGTAGCAGGCTTAGTCATTGATAAAGCTCAAATATACTGGTGATGATTTTATTATTTCATCAACGTAAGAACTGTAAAACAAAATAATACAACATTTATCAGTCATTACATAACAAGAAAATCTGAAATTACATTTAGCACACACACATGCACTAATATGATCTTTAGTATATATGTGTAGACTAGAATATTCAATATTGTCAGCCAATACGCAAGTTTCGAGATTATCTCCCTTGGTGCGCTCTTTCGTTATGGAGGGGAGTTTTGTGCACGCTTAAGCAGGCAGGTGGGACAATTATGTGATTTCATCTTCGATATATCATCATAACTGATTGTCGGGAAGCACTCTTCAACTCGAAAATTACCGAACTAAAGTAAGGCATAAATTTTTTCTATGAACAAAAAATCGGAACAAAAGAAAATAAAAATTGGAACAAAAGAAAATATCAGCGGATAAGAACTTATCAAACAAGGGAAGAGATATGGATCTCTTATAAATTCACATGCATCTTATCTTTGTACGTCGGCATTCTGAATGACTCTTTCCCTTATAATAACTTCAAAAAGCTCAGTAACTTTTTAGAAAAAGGTTTGTACAATCAAAGAATTATTTTTCTTATAAAGACTATGACGGTTCTTTCGTTTTCTAGTATCCTATATGAAAGAAAATTTTGTAAATATGTATAGTAGAGCTTTATAAAACCATCAAAATGATAATTGCTTAGCATATCATCTTTCTATAACATTAAATAAATGTTAAAAGCCATAACCACCGTTCATTTATTTAAGCACGTTTGTATACATTTACAACCTGTCCCACTTCCATGCTGATATGGATACTTTTTGCGCCTCTATCATAGGAGAGTTACAATCTCGAAACTCGCATATTGACTAGTAGTATGTAATATGAATAAGAACTATACATTTATTTAATTTGCTACTTAAGCTCAATAAAATTATTACCAGTAACAATCAGAAAATACAACTTTGCTATTTCACTTAAAACGTAAACAAACTTGGCGCTTTACCTAACATTACAGTGCAAAGGGGGATAACTCTAAGTTAAAAATGACACTCAACAATGTGCTCAAAAAATAATTTCACAAGTGACAATTTAAATAATAATGAAGTCTATTTAATCATAAGAACGATATGAAATATCAAAATACAAATTGCTATGGGATCTTTTATTATCAATCAACATTTCACTACTCGTGGGTCAAAATGGCACCATGTATAAAAACCACACTAGCAATGCTTGTACAAAAATGCTCTAAATACAGAGTATTCGCTATGTCTATAAAGTAAAAGCAATGTTTTCAAGCAAGATCAGGGATGTTAAACATTACTGTGAGCATATAAACTGATGCATATACTTGTTAAATACCTTGTTCTCCTAACCAAGTTGCTAAGATCGTTAGACCATCGTTATGGATGTACAAAGATGCTGGGCAGAAGTTACGTTAAGCACAAGTAATTGCCGGACCCAAAGATAAGAAAATTGCCCATCCAGAATTAATTACTTAAAAATGTTGCACAGGTGATAAATTAAAATTACAAATAAAAATTAACATCGTAAACAATAGTAAAATTTATGACATTTACAATAACTCTTGCGATTTCAATTAAACGTTTAACTTGACGTTAAATTTGACGTTAATTTTTAAGCGTCAAAAGGATGAGCGATACGATCCCAAAGTATTTAAAGGAAAAATGAGGTCAGAGGTTTTGATTGTGGTTTCTTAAGGAATACCAAATCCTATCCTTGATCATTTGCGCATTTACAATAAACTTCCTCCCCTTCATAAAAATGAAGAAAAGTCAAATTATCTCTTAAATTTCTTTACTTTAAATTTAGTTTATTAATTCATTAAATTATATTTATGATACACCCAAAGGCATTTTTTTAATTCTCAAAATGTTAATGCTTCATTGTTTTTTTCCCATTACAATCGGCCACATAACAATGAGATTTCCGCAATATTATAATATTACGCAAATAAATACTGTCTTGTTTTTCTTTTCTTTGAAAAAAAAATTAGAAAGTTTTAAGCAATATAATTACCTTTTTCAGAAGTTCACTAATCAAAGAGAAACAACTCTAAAAATGTAGGAGATGTATGTTTTTCCTCCCCTTAACTGAGTTATTCCTCCTGTTTTCCCAACAATTATGGGTGTTTCATCTTCGCTAGCCAAAGGTTTCTGATACCCTACTCTCCTCATAAACCCTTGGCATACGGTGCTGACAAAAGCCGGGATTGTCTTCTTCACATGATCACGATTCTTACCAGGTGCACACCAATTGCGTCATCGACAGAAATAAAAAGCGTATTAAAAAAATAATGTTTTTAAAGAATAATTAACAAGAAGGTATTGAGTTATGTTAATTTGTTATTTAAACATGTTAAAATGCAAATCTACATCTCCAGTATAGATTCTTAATCACATATTTTGCACGTAGCTTAAGATAATGAAACACCATATAGCTATTCATAGAATGGCGTGTTATCTTACGGATCGTTGTTTACTTGCGTTTTTCATTCCTGATATTAAAGAGTCAAGATATATCCCGAACGCAAATATCATTTACAAAAAACAATTGCTGATTGGTCGAACGATGTCGATCAACTCCAATCACAGCTTGAGAAAAAAATCCCAACTTTTTTTAACACCGTATGCCAAGGGCTTATGAGGAGAGTAGCGTATCAGAAACCCTTGGCTAGCGAAGATGTGGGTGTTTTTGTTTTTGTTTTTCACGAATACACATAAACATTTACAGTGAGTTCTAAATGAACAAAAGAACTGAAAGCCAAAGTATATACAAATAAAAGTAAGTATCAAATGTGGTAAAGAATTATTACTGTAATTAATACAACGCATGCATTCCACTGAGAAAGTCTTTTCTGTAAACAGTTTCAGTTCTCATTTCCTTGAATTAAAAAAAAAAAAAAACGATTGATACCATTGAAGATGACTGGGGCACATTAATAATTGTAAGATTGATGAATAATGTACAATTTGGTACAATTGAAGTTAATACGAATACAAACTTTCCATTTTATTTACTGAAACAACAGGATACAATATGGGGGGGGGGGGGGGGATTGGGGTCCCACCCCTCTTGTTTGAAATAATGAAGAACCTATATTTATTCCATTTTCATCACAGGAGAGTTGTACATATAATACTGTTGGTTCACTTAAAAAAAACTAAAATTCAATGCAAGTAGAATTCATATAGAGGTGTGAAAGTAATCTCGTACATGTGTGGACATATGAACTCGAAACCGGACACGTGGACATAAAATCCTTAGAAAATTAGTTTGCAATATTAAAATATGATATAAGAACAAAACATATTTGTAGTCAATATTTAATCTGCATAGATGAATGAACGACTTATTACATCAGGATTCAATATACCAATTATATCTGCAGACATAACCAATAGTTTGTTTCCAAGCTCAAACGGCCTGCATTGCAAAGAAGAAAGGGGGGGGGGGGTCTTAAACTTTCAGTAATTGCTTATTCATCTTCATTTAAATGCAGATGTTAAGTTTTAAGTTTGTAATAAATATAAAGTTAATTACATTTTTAAAGTAAAAGATATTTTTCAGTTTGGATATTTATGTGTATTTGTAGATTCAAAGCATTGTTTTCGTTCCAAGTCAGAAAGATGCTGTCAGAAACGTAACTTACAGAGGGAGGGGGATTTTCAACTATTAATTCAAAACGTGCTATTTAAAATTTTTTTAAAAATTAATGAAGATTACTTTTGTAACCAGTTATATGAAAAAAGTATTTTTTCTAAAATTAAACGATAGATTTTTTCATAAAAAAAAATATTTAAATTGAGAAATTTTTCAAAGCTTAGATGAACCATACTTTTTTAGTTTAAGTTCTTAAAAAAACTTTTTGACAGATGTGTACCTCTACAAAATTACTTTATTTGTGTGTTTAATGGTCAAATGAATGAGTCAATGAAATTTGACAGCCAGACTGACTCAACTTTTTTTGAAAATCAAGGATTTTATAGCTAGTCAATTGAAAATTTCTTCTCGTGAACAATCAAAGGGGGGTAACTTTTGGAACTTCCTGTCCAAATTCGACTCAAACGATTTTGTCCAAAATGTGTATATGGGTAGTAAATAAAGTCATGTATAAGATATACAAAAATAGCGAAAATTAAATGACAGAAATTTTTTAGGGGTGGGTGTGTTGTACACCCTTAACAGCCCCTATCGTATGTATATACATTTGTATGTCTGAATGCATATCTTCTAAGTCCTTTAACAACCCTTATTGTATGTAATACATATGTATCTTCTAAGTCCTTTAACAACCTTTATTGTATGTATATACATATGTATGCCTGAATGTATATCTTTTAAGTCTTTTAACAGCCCTTATTGGTACTCTCTCTGATTGTGTCAATTTTTGAGTTCAGTTTTTTTCATTTTTGGATATGATGGCTATGGTTCATGTATGCAGTTATTGACCGTGTTCGAGGGCAACAGCTGTTTGACCCAAGAATGAATCTCTTGTCCAAAGTTTTCGGTGAAAGCCACTAGATCTGTATGAGGGTTAAACAAACCAGCCTAGTTCTAGGACCCAGTTTATAGCTGTTTTGTTATACATCTTCATTATTCAGGTTCATTGTTACAAATGTACAACAAAAATTTTGTTGAATTGGAACTTTTAACCAGTGAATGCATGGATAGTTACATGTACTTATAGTTATCACCACAAATTTAAAGAAAAAAATTATCATTTGGTGCTGAATTATGTTGTCATGCATTGTTATTTCATCGACGTAATCTATTGTTGACATCTTATTACTTTAAGTTAGTTAAATGAGTTTATAAAAACAACTTGCACAACACAGAAGTTAGAAGTTCTGTAATGTATTTTGCAATGCTTATTAGTTTTTTAGTCTTTCTGCTCTGTTTTTGTTCGGTGGTATCTGTCACATCAGCTAAAATGGCATTTGTCAGAGCAGCAGACTCAATGATCTCATGTCTGACATAGCCAATGAAAATGAGGCAATCAGTCAACAGATCAATCTTACTCAACAGGTCCATCAGAATCAGAAATTTTTAAAGTCGGATTTTTTTTAACAAATAACATAAGCTCTGTAGAGCTTTTGACCGACAAAAGACAAGGCTGTAGACTGGGGACTGGTCAACAGATCAGGAGAGAAAGAAATTTGGGACTTAAATTTTTTAATTTAACAGTCAAAATGTTATTTTTTATGGTAGAACTTTAAATTTAGGTGTATAACAATGCATGATACATATCTAGCTCATACACTATGATAATCTACAATAAGACCTCTTTGGTAGTTGATAATAATTATTAATTTGATCTATATATCATGTTTAGGCTCATGCTTGCATTCATGGGCTTCTTGTTATTTTTATTCTTTTCATTTAATATTTGCAGAAAAACTAGTATTTCATTAATCTGTAAAGAAGATGCCTCTAGTGATGTATTTACTGTGTCTGGGGAGACACCTACAGGTCAAGTTAATTATGTAAGTTTCCACTACTAGTAAGTATCCTGTTAAGGTCAGACGACACGTTCCTCAGTAATATATAATTTTTTCCAAGAATTTGTCACTGAAGTATTGTTACTTTAACAAGTTTCCTCACAAAAAATTAAGGTACCTTACCAGGCATTTGTGCATGTTGTGGAAGATATGAGATGATTCTATTTACTATATAATCCTATTGAAAATCATTAGCATTGTCAGTATCGCAATTTTTTGGTGTCTTTATCAACTTAGACATTTCAAAAACAGTTTAAAAGTCACTAAACAATTATGATAATTATCATTAATTTGTTGTAATAGATTACAAAGAGATACAAAACAGATATTCAAGCAATGTGTCGTTAGACCTTAAATCTTTTTTTTTTCTTTAGATCACATAATCCATAATGATTGGAAACACAGTGAATATCCATGATCTCAGTGATAAATTATCTACAAGTAATAATTATTAAATTAAAATCAAAGGATATTGAATTTTAGGGTTCTTAGGCAAGGGACATTCAGGTTTGGTTACATGAAGATTTATTCCCTGCAGACTAATGATTAATTATGGTAAAACATGCTTATAGCAAACACACTTATCATAATGAATTGATATTTACAGTGAAGTGATTTTCTATCCCCATGGCTTTTAAATATATTGTGAACTTAATGGATATAATGAATTACATTTATAGCAAGGCAAAAATTGATTGTCCTTAGGACTTTTATTATTGAAATTGGGTGAGAGAATTAAAAACCATCTAAAAAATCCAGTGGTTATGAATGACAAAATATACATCTCATCTTCTTGGTAAATCCATGTTTGTTCTATTAATGGCACTTTAGGACTAGGTGGACTTGATTTTTTTTTTTTGGGGGGGGGGGGGGGGATTTTCGATCCTTGCAGTCATGCACATATAGACAGTGCAACTCAGATGCTACTAATACATAGTTAACAAGTGTGAAATAAATGTAAAAATATCATGGCCGTAGGAACCGGGGGGGGGGGGGGGGCATGCCCCCCCAATAATTTTGCTGATATATAGAATGCTATAGAAAACATAGCTACTACATGCTTGTTCCCCCTCATTAATAACGTCTGACCTCCCTTTTTTTTTTTTTTTTTTTTTTTTTGGCTTGTCAAGGAATTTTGGAAGTCAATAGTGCCCCCTCAACTGAAAATGTATGGTTGTGCCCCCTCAAAGTGAAATTGCTTCCTACGGGCCTGAAATATGATATCTATAAAAGAACCTTTAAAAATGCCAGTGCTTATAAATGTACATTTAAGAGTTTAGATCAAAGTCTGAGGAACTCAAATGACTTATTGCTGTCTGGTCACATCTACATGTGTATTAAAGCATCCTGTATGCCACCATGCATTGTTATTTTTTATTTAAACGTTCTCAATTCTCTCTCCAAAAGAGCTGAACCAATAATTTCTACTTCAAATTTTTGTTTGTAACATTTATATGGTCATTGACTGGGACAATAAATATTTTTTCCCCTTTTTTCAGCCCCCAAGAATTGAAGGAGGCATGGACCTTAATAAAAATTTGAAAATCCATGTACTATAACAGGGATTAAGATTAACTTTTATGAGTACTAGACCAGTCAGGCTATTTTTTAGTTCTACTGGTCAGAGACCAAAAGAGCTTATGCAATAGGAAGGTGTCTATTGTCTGCCCGTCTGTCTAGCTGTCCATCTGTGTGTAAACAATTTTTCAAAACGCTACTCCTGCTACAGTTTTGGTCTGATTTCAATATAACTTGGCATACTAGTAGACTACACTAATTTAGAGCATCTGTTCTTGATTTTGTTGAACAGTGTTGCCATGGTTACTAAAAAAAATTTCTGTGATATGCCTTTGAAATGCTACTCCTCCTACAGTTTTGGTCTGATTTCAATATGACTTGGCAGACAAGTAGACTACACAAAGATACATAATTCAATGCATGGGTTTGTGATTTTGATGAAAAGTCATGGTAACTAAAAATAGAAATTTCTGTGAAATTCTTTTAATGGCTACTCCTCCTACATGTACAATTTTTGTCTGATTTCAATATAACTTGGCACACAAGTAGACTACACTTAGATACATAATTCTTTATATCTGTTTTTTATTTTGGTGAGTGATGTTGCTATGGTTACTAAAAATAGAAAATTTTGTGAAATTATTTTAAAATGCTACTCCTCCTACACTTTTGGTCTGATTTCAATATAACTTGGCAAACAGGTAGACTACATTAAGATAGATAATTTTATTAATACATTTTTTAATTTTGATGGACCCCTTGTCGTGGTTACTAAAAATAGAATTAAATAAAATAAAAATAGTATTACTAGGCACACAAATAGACAACACTGTGATACATAATTCTTTGTATTGGTTTTTGATTTCAAGACTAAAACAAGGATCATTATTCTAATTTATTGCTTTTCTGTAGTTTCATCTTCCTTTGTTAAAAGTACAAACCAGTCGAACTACAGTCTTGTCAGAGACTTCTGGTTATAATTAGGGCCATGCTATGCAGGAGCCCTGTAAGATCAGTCCATCTATCTGTTCATTCAATTTCATTTGTCCTGTGCATATTTTCTCTCCCCTTGGCCTATTCTGGCTCATACATCACCAATAGAGTGCATCTGGGTAGAGGGTATCCAATGACCTTAAACCAATTTTCTCTCTCAAATGGTCCTGTTAGGCTCATTAACTTCATTCATGGAATATCCATGGGTAGAGGATCTGCAGTGACCTTGAGCCAATTTTTTAAAAACAAATTCAAGGTCAGAAAGTATATCTGTAAAATCCTTGTCCAAAGCATATTTTCTCTACCATTCAAACTTCACCTACAGAGTACTGTAGAGAAGAGGGTGTGCAGTGGCCTTGAAGCAAATTTCTAGATCAAAGGTCATGGTTAATAAACCTTTCTGTGTAAAATCCTTGGAGTTTATTTTCTCTCCCCATGGCCTAGTGGGGCTCATCTTTCACCCATAGAGTGTCCATGGGTAGAGGGTGTGGAGTGACTGAGAACCAATTTTTTAGATAAAACGTCAAGGTCAGAAACCTTTTTGTGTAAAATCCTTGCCCAAAGCATATTTTCTCTCCCTTAGGACTGACCAGGCTCAAACCTCATCCAATTGGTAGAGAGTTTGCAGTGTTCTTGAGCCAAGTTTCTCAAGAAAATCAAGTCTTCCAACAAGAAAACACACTGTTACACTCTCCATGATGAAACCAAATGTCCTTCCAGCATGATAGAACTTAGCAACAATGTAGAATTGCTTGATGATGCAAAAAATGCTATGCTGAATCTATGCACATGCAGTTACTCCTTTATTTGTATTTGAATGTAAAAAACATTCAGTGTAAAATAATAATTACTTCATGTAGTTTAGGATACCATTGAAAATTTTCTCCCCAAGAAAACCATTGTCAACTGTGGTGCAGCCTGTTTTATAATAACAAAAGTAATAGAATGCATAGTTTTTCTCCAACCCCAACCCTTTTTGCAGAAAGATGCTTGCAAAAGCATTATTATTAATGGAATATTTCACAACAGTACTATAGATTAAATGTGAAATGGTCTAGACAAGGTTAATTTTTTTCCATTTGTGCATAAAAAATGCATGTATTTTCTCTGTGATTATAGTAGTTTTTTTTTTTCATTTTGAGAATAATTTTACAATGGGTAGTTTTTAATACTGTCAGTAAAGTGTGAAACAAGTTAAGATAAAACAAACCTGTTTTGGAATTCCTTTCACAAATAAAATTTACACTTAATGCAATTAAGAATATATAAACACACTGTACATGTACAAACAAATATTTTTAGAAATATTTTTATTTATTATTATAAGAAGATTGAAAATGATTCAAAATTATGAATAAGGATAGGGAACAGGAAAATAAGTAAAATTACTACTATTTAGTATTTATGTCTGTACAATGGTTTATCCAGAAGTAATGTTAAAACTGCTATAAAATCTTTAATAATGGCAAGCTATCAACAGAATTTAATATTCTAATACCTCTATGTAATTTGACTTTTGCCTAGAAGTTTCATTCAGATGTATGATACTTTGTAAAATACTGTGCATACATTTACGTTTAGTGTAGCATTGGATTTAAAAGGATGTGACTTGAAAAGCTCATCCTCTGTTAACTGTCTGTCAATCTTTTTACCTCCATTTTATATTGTTTTTAATGCAACTTTTGTATCTTTATGATGTTAAATATTTTCTATTTTAAATATTTTTTATTTTAAAGAGTAAACATGCCTGTATTATTATAATTAATATTATCATTAATTACAGAGATTCACATTAACGAGTAAATATGCCTGTATTATTATAATTAATATTATCATTAATAACAGAGATTCACATTAACGAGTAAACATGCCTGTATTATTATAATTAATATTATCATTAATTACAGAGATTCACATTAACGAGTAAACATGCCTGTATTATTATAATTAATATTATCATTAATTACAGAGATTCACATTAACGAGTAAACATGCCTGTATTATTCCAAATCCAGGGTTGAGTGCAGGATCTGTCCTACTCATTTTGTAAGTATCCATATATTTCCATTACCTTTGCATATAAAATTAAAAAGGACTACATATACCCATCTTCTGTAATGACCAAAATCGGCTCCCTAAATCAAACTTTGATGGAGAAATCTATAATTATTTTCTAAACCAGGGGGATATGTGACGACTTGAAAACATAACCTATTTTCCTCAGGCATGATGCCATTTGTTAGAAATGAAATCAAGCAGATGATCGACCTAAATTAAAAATTTCAATGATTTTGATTCAAAGTCATCAAGTGCAGCTCTACCCAGATCTTTTGATATAATGTGATAATATAATATCAATGAAATATGTGAATATTGTTCTGGTGCCAGCTTGTGCTCAGTAAATTCTATACTCAAAAATGAATTCATGTTGTCCATTTTGTCCTCATTTTTGAAATAACAGAAAATCCAAATAGTTTGTGATGTAACAGAAACAAGAATTGTTATAGATGATAATCTACTTCCAAACTATAATAATTTTGGCCAAGTAAGATTCTTCATACAGTAATATACAATTGTTTACATTACTAGAGATTTTAAAAATTCGGCATTGAATTATGGGGGCAAATATATGTTCTTACATATATAGTTCTTAAAAAATCATGAATTGTGTCCATCAGCTTGGATCCTTGGTCAGGCTGCATGAACTAAATTGTTCAAGCTCATCAACATGGAGTAGTAATTACATGTTATTTACTGCATGTGCAGAGGTCATTTAGTAAAACTGAAACATCACAGAACATTTTGAATTCCGTTATTATAAGTTGATGAACAATGCTGTTTGATTTAACACACAATTTCCTGATGAGTGACCTGAGGTTAAAAATTTTTAGTAGACTCATTACATTGTAACTTCAATCCCTACCTAAACCAAACTTTCCTTGATTATGCTTCAAGAGATGAACACTCTCAAACTTTCTTCTGATGGATGACTATAGTCTTAAGTTTTTAAATGGGTAACACAATTGTAGAAGTTTCTTCTGTGCAATGGGAGGAATGAACTGCAAATCTTAGTAGAGGGACTTGCATTCATGGTGTTCTGAATGCAATTGATGAGTGCATGTTGATAGAGGAAGAAAACATAAAAAATGCAAATATTGTTACTTACTATTTAGATTAAAGAATATAAACAAATTTACATCCTCTCTGCAAGGGCATACCTTATTTAATTTTACAGAAAAATGGTGTAATCAGAAAAATAAGGCAGTATACCACAGATTGATAAAATGTGATGCATTAACCCTTACAGAAATTTCTGATAAGTGACTTATAAGTGATTTATTCTTTTACTTATAAGTTGTTTATACTGGACTTATACTTCACTGATACATTTAACTTATAAGTGACTGATAAGTGACTCATTAGGATTTCATATGCAAATGAGGTGCTTGACTTATAAGTGACTTATAAGCCAAGTATTAGCCACTTTTGCTTTATGCAAGTATAGTCACTTATAAGTGACTTATAAGTCAAGTATTAGCCCTTCATACTTTATCATGTATGAGTCATTTATAAGTCACTTATCAGTGAAGTACAGCACTGCCTTGAAGATCTTAATTTAGAACAGAACTTCCAATCATGCAGGAGTTGCATGATGTTCAAAGTTTTTTTTTTACATATACATATGCATCTGCACTAAGATGAAATAATCAAGTTAACATTTTATGGAAAAAAATTCCCTCTCATATGACATTCTTTGATGATGCAAACTTTATATATTATTTCAGTTTACAAATAAAAATATTGGACAAAAAGAAATCAGTTAAGACTTAATGACCTTGAGGCTTCTTCAAATTTATGAAATCTGAAAGCAACTAAGTCAATTGATTCAAAATTTCAGGCAAAGGAAGTTAAAATAAAAAGATGATGTGAATAGAAGCTACTTGCTGAACCTGATGTGAAGGCATACTCAAAATAAATTTGAAATCTCCAACAATATCCTTTCACAGAGACTAACTTAGTTTCAAATTCTTGTCATTTATCTCCGCAGAGACAAAATTTCTGATTGGTTAGCTTGAATACCCACAATGCAATGCAAGAGAAGTCTAGTATGATGTAAAAGTTCTAAGTCCACACTTATTCTGGCTAATACCATACTGATCTTCACTTATAAGTGAAGTATAAGTGAAATATTCACAGATACTTGGCTAATCTTCACTTATAAGTGAAGTATTAACAAAATATGTTCCCCACTTATACTTACTTTGACTTACAGTACACTTATAGGTTAATTTCAAAATTTATAGGTGACTTATAAGTTGCTTATAAGTGAAGTATAAAACCATTATAAGTGTCTATTGGTTTTTTCTGTAATGGTTATCTCAAATGATCAGAATGTGAAGAAACTTATGGCAGGCAGACTTTTTTTTTTACCATGTTTCAACTCAAAACTCCAAAATAGTAACTTAACAATTGCATTGTTGACATTTGTGCAGCAATATAGCATCAATTTTTGGAATATTCTTCTTAATTATTTTATCTTTACGATGTAAAATTAAATAGCCTTAAAGGATGTATATGCCATTGCACCAAAGCTGTTTTGTCGAGTGCTTAATATCACTAAATGACTCATAGATGTCACAGCATGAGAACATGAACTTGCAAGTGGACTGTCAATTTACAATTTTTTTCATGATTTTTAACAAAAAATAAAAATAAAAGTGAGTAAATTTATTTTTTTAAATTGTGCATCTCATAAAAGTATGCAATAATACATTTCTCACATAGATATAGGCATCAACAGTGAATCCAGTTGTGTTTAGATTTGATGTTAGTATATCAATCCTGAGTTGATTATACTATCTATGTGTGTTAAATATCAATGAATTTACTTAGTAAAGATTGTGTTTTGTTTTTCACCAGGTTTTTTGTATTTGTTTTGGTGTATCTGATTGGTGGAATTCTATTCCTACGATTTTATCGAGGGGCCAATGGCAAGGAGATGATTCCAAATTTTGAATTTTGGAAAGACTTTCCTTTCCTTGTAAAGGTAAGGTTTTAAAGACCAGTATTATTTGGCCAGAATAAGATTGAATAGGTCCCTCACAAAATTTTCTACTTCACTTCAACTATGTTAAAGTTGCTTGGTCAGTTTTATTATAAATAATATATCTGGTGGTTATTGAGAAATAATTTTCCATTTAAAGTTTCTGCTTCCATAAAGTTATATATTTAAAAGTTTCAATTTAAGTACTAAAAAAAGTCAAATTAACCGTTGCTCAGTAAGATGCACACCAACCCCCAATTTTCTTTGCCATTTTGAGTCATCATATATGAGTAGTTATTTTAAATGTACTTCTCAAAAAATCCTTGATATAACTTATGCCAGGAGTGACAAACATTGACTGAGTTTTCTTTTATAAAAATTGTTAACTAAAAACAAACAAAAAATGCATGATTTATTTATATGCATATTATATATACACATGTACATTTATTGCATAAAAATATGCATCTCAATCTGACCAAGCCACCAAGCCACTTTAAAAGTCCTATCAGCAGCTATTAATTGTATATAACAATGAAGGATCCCAGAGTTTATGTGGCCCATTTGAGCAAGTTGCTATTATACTGCAATTCTAAAAAGTATTGCTCTATTTTCAAAAACTGCTTTTTTGAATTTTTTTTGCAGTTTCTAAAAAAAACCCCAGGTATTTCAGTTTATCTTGTAAGTGATGATTCATTTACGGTATACAAGTATTTTATAATTTTTTCATACTCTTATGATAGTTACATTTATTAAGTAGTTTTTTTTCATTAACAGGATGGTATGATGTTTACATTTCGTGGATGTAAAACGGATACAACATACACACAGATATAGAGCTCTGAGCTTCAGATCATCATGTACATTTAACGTAACTGCCAAAGTTGAAGGTGAATGAAGAATGTCTCTTTACAGAATTTAATATTCAGTGGTATGAAGTAATTTATATTGCCATATGCAGTGATTGTTGTTAAAATTTATTGAAAAAAAGAAATGAATGAAAGTGGTTTTGTTATTTTGCCAGTGCTAAATATATTGATAATTTTATGAAATTTGGATGGTCCATCAGCCTGATAATTTTTAGCTAACCTAAGCCAAAGGCTCAAGTGAACTTTACTGATCGAAAAGAGTACAGCATCCTGTCAGCCTATTTTGTGTCGTCCATAAACTTTCACATTTTTGATTTCTTAAGAACCACTGAGCCAATTTCATCCACACTTACCATAATTGATGCACCCTTGAATGAAAAGGAATTAAGCTTGTTCAAATGAAGGACCATAACCTCTACCAAGGGGAGAAAATAAAGAATTAGTGGAATTTAATGACATTTTTTAAAGATTTTTTTCTTAAGAACCACTGACCAAGAAAAATGAAACATATGAAAGTTTCTTTATATAGTGTATATTCAAGTTTGTTCAAATCATGACCCCTGGGGGGATAGGCTGGGACCACAGTTGGAGATCAATATTTTAAATATATAGGAAAAGTCTTTAAAAAATCCTCTCCTCAAGAACAGTAAAGTTATGTTTATTTTGGAGCAAGTTTGGGTAGCTAGTGTACATTCAAGTAAATTTAAATAATGGCCCAGGGGGGAGGTACGTTGGGCCCCAAAAGAAAGTCAAATATTAGCATGAAATTAAAAGGAACAAAATCTTCTCAAGGCCAGCTGTCAGTCATATTAAGATGAAAGCATCTTTAGGAAGTATAAATTCAAGTTTGTTCAAGTCATTACCCATGGGAGTAGGGTGGGGCCACAATAGGAGAACAAAGTTTTACAAAGGCAGATGATTCAAGTTTGTTCAAATGTTGAACCCTGGTGAAAGATAATTGGGCCACAATAGATCCAAATTTTACATAGGAATATGTAGGAAAAAATCTTCCTCTGAAGAACAGCAAAATCAAAGTGATCCAGGTGAGCTTTGTGGCCCTTGGGCTTCTAATTTTTTAATGGCATTCACAAGTGATCTGATATTGAATTATACTAAAGATCTGTATAGATGTTATTTTTCAATCTGCATCTCTGATTTTCTAAAAACTTTTGGCAATCATTTTAATTTTTTTTAAATATACATGTATATGTTATTGTATTTATGCATAGAATTATTGTCATTAATGTTGCTGCATTATCAGATAGATGTTTTTAATCTAAAATGTCATTACAGTGGTATATTTACAAAGAAATGCCAATTTTGCGAAGTATGTTAAAGAACAAGTTTCAATAAGGCTTATCTGTGGTCCCCAGAATTTTTTAAGTCTGGATGTCTAGGTGCATGTGTCTGCCTAATTAAGGATTGAACACATATCTTTGGCCTTTACATATGTATTTCGAACTGCGTTCTGGTCTAGCAAGTCATATATAATGAATTCTAAAACTCTCAAAATGAGAAGTGACTAGAGTTGGTACAGCAACTTAAGTATCGATGGAGAGTTGGGAAGCGAGAGGAAATTAGTCCTGGTTGGGATTCTCTCAGTTATGCTGAAAACATAATGCAGATCTATGTGGGCTAATACTTCTAAGCTTCATAATGAAAAGGAAACACTCATCATATTATAGATTTTTCCATCATTTGGCTAATTACGTATCCTGATAAAATATTTTTGACTGTAATTAATATTATTCATATTGTCAAATACACTGCAATATACTGAAGCCGGTAGGTGCTAAGTAAAATATATATATATATATATATATTTATTATCTGGCGGCCACCAGACAAGTTTCTAGTGCCTGCCATTGAAATATCTGGCGGCCGCCAGATAAAATTGTAGTGTTCTGCTTAAACAACATCTACAAATTCTGTTTGTAGTAAAATCTGGGAGTTTCATGCCTTATTAGCAAAGATCAAATCTACACTATACACTGTATACAAAAATTCACTTCATAAGGTCTTATATAACCTCATAACTTTAAATTTATGTTTTTTATTAGATTACATGTCTACATCGCACGAAACTTATTTCGCAGCTTCTAGTTATTTATGTGGTGGCTGCAGGAAAACTATTTAGCAGCCGCCAGATATAGTTTTCTAGGGCCACTGAATAATTTTGTGGCGGTCGCCAGATAATTTTTTTTTCTAAGGCCTACCTTGCACCTACAATGTACCGGCTTGCTTTTAAGGTATTCAATGTATAACAACCATATTTGTACCTAATAAATGAAAGGTCCGATTTTTTTAATCATGGTAGCATTTTGAAGGTGTTATCAAAGAAAAATACTCCAAAATTTTGATTATTGTCCAATTAATTGCACCTTGAATTTTACATTGACGTCTATGGGCAGTGAATTTATTATCAAGATGTTGTAAAAAGTAATATGAACTTCATACAAATCTCTTAGTGAAAATATGCATAATATAAAATCTCTTTATCAAAATATAAAATAAAATACATCATTTACCACAGAAATTTTGACAAAATTGAAATTTTCCTCTTTTTATCAAGGGCAGATAACTCTTCAAAAACGTTTAAGAGGCAAAATGGCCGGCTACTTATATGTTACCAATCATGTGAATTTGGTTCATTTCACTTTCATCGTTATCTAGCTATGCATATTTAACTGGTTTGAAATGATTCAAAATTGCTCAGTATCCCTTCATTATACATTGAATACCTTAAATAAACTTTTTATCTATGTATGTATATGAAATTGCATTTATTTTTTGATCGTGCCGATTTTTCTTTTTATTTAAAAACATTTTTTTTAATTTCAATTTGATAATATTAAGGTATATTTTTATAAAACGTTGTTTAACCTCATTGATGAAAATGTATTGCATATACCTGTATATGACGTTTTACCTATCTCATGTCTGCATATCTTTTCATTTGCATTTTTCGTATGGGAAAATGTTCAACATTGGCTACAAAGTTTATGTATAAACTGTCGATTAATTATGATGTTAAAACATTTTCTGTATGTTTACGTTTTATAAGTGAAATTCATCCTCTTTTAAAGAAAAGTAACATTTAACACAACAGGAAAATATCGCACCTTAAAAAACATTCGCATAAAATAAATACCATTTTCAGTAAGGAAAAAAAATGTTAAAATTGGTTAATTTATGTCTTTATTCATATTCTGTTTCATTTACGATTTTGACGGTTAAAAAATCCAAATCTCCCTATAAAAATGTCTACTCCAAAAATATACGGATGGGGGTATACTTAAATTTTCAATTATCACTTGACCGGAAAATGCGCAACATAAATTATTTTTTATATTTTTAGGAAGATAAGGAGTTTTTCTACAAAATATCAAAATTTCTTAAAATTTATATGTGTAAAGGTTGAGTGAAAATATCTTTGCTGAACAACCTTGTGCTCTATGTTTTCTAATTAAAAGTATTGTGATTTTAAATCTCTACATTATATTTACTGATGCTGAGAATGTGATAAACCTTACAGATCTGACTGCGTTTTACAAAAGAACTTTTGACTAAGGGCAATTCAGTTTTTGCAATTTATTTCATTTTGAAGAATGATTAGATTGAGATTTCATGTGAATGGGAAGAATTTAGATATGTACATTTATATCATTCAATTCAATTCAGTTTATTGACATCACCATGTTGGCATACAGTGAAAATAAGAAATTAAATGACAGATACATGTAACAGGAAAAAAAGAGAAGAATGTTATAACATAATTGCATGCAATTCAATTTTACTTAGTTCCTTATAGACATTGGCATTGTTTCCTCTGCATAAAGCATTTATCTAAGTAGATACATAAACGTTTTGTAGTATTACAGTGGGGTTAACAATTTCTTTAATGGGATCAGTACCACAGTATAATTTATCATCAAAAATATCACAATATTGAAATCGAAGATGGTCATACACAGGACGGTAAAGTACAAAATGTTTTTCATTTTCAACCAATAATTTACAAGCATAGCATAAACGTTTTTCCTTAGGGATTATTGGTTTACAGTATCTACCTGTTTCAATGAATAGTAAATATAATAAGTAAGTATATAATAAGAGGGTCATTTAAAAAATATGTCGAATTTTGTCTTAACTTTTTAATTTAATGTCATAACAAATTTGGGTAGACATTTTTTAACAAGAAATTCAAATTATTTGAATTATGAAAATTGAATACATAATGATATTTATCGAGTTTATCAAAAATTTAGACAGACAAAATGAGGCAACAGAGCACGGTCATAATTGAGTATTTTACTAACAAAACACTTTACAATGTCTATAGTCATGCCTCTAATAAATGGCGCTTTACCGAAATCAAATTTAAACTTTCAAATGTAATATTTTTATATTTTTTTAGAAGCCAGATTATAATGTTATTCATTTAAAAGATTGTATGTTGTTTAACATCCCGTTCGAGAATTTTTCACTCATTTAGAGATGTCACCATATACGGGTAAAGGGCTTCAAATTTAGACCTGTGCTGGGCACTCAGGACTATTGAGCAGTGAGGGATCTTTATCGTGCCAACGCCTGGCGTGACCAGGTCCGTTTTAAAAAGTCTCATCCGAAAGACCCACAAACGTTCACTTTAAACTGCTGAACGCTTGGAGAAGGAACAGTTGCTACCTATTTTTTTTTTATCGACTTAGGTTAGTTGTGGCCAAGGTTTGAACCTATGACATCATGGTGCAAGTGCTCTACCCACTGAGGTACCATGACGGTTCGTTTAAAAGAAATTAATTTCTGAATACAGATATACCTCATTGAAAAAAGCTAAAAAGATGATATCGACGGACGGACAGAATTAACGGAAAACCTCTAAAACAGCTCTGAAATGCTGGAGGAACCAAGAAAAATATTGAAAATGATCAGTTCAAGTGTATATAATTGGAAATGACAGTTTTTGAGTGGTTAAGAAACTTTGAATCGGTGAGTGGTCTATGAAGAAACAGATTAAACTGATAGTTAGGAATCTGATCATAAGAGTTCATAACGTCATGGAAAGTGATATAGGCCCTTCACTGTTGAGAAACCTCTGAAAGCAGAGTTACACGGTAAAGAATTTGAAACAGTGACAAACTAACAAGAATTTGAAAACACTGACAAACTAACTTAACATAGTAGGGCAATTGTTAGCAAATTTGGTGTCAAGTGTTGTGGAGACATTTTTATGAATGGATAAGGCGGTACAGACCATTTACTGAATGAAAAGGCAGAGTATTTTGAGAAATTTCCAAAATGGATTCAGACGTTACGGTTTTTAAGCGTGCTAAATATTGGATAACATGAATTCCATTTATTTATATGGAATGAAACTACACACAACGACAAAATTAATTTTTTACACTTGAAATTGTGTTGATCTTAAATCTGGTAAATATAATATGTCGGAGAGGGTCATTGTTGACATCTTTTTTGAATGACCCTTGTATATTCTCACAAATTATATAGGCAAGATA